GGCAGAATGTGGATTTACATCCAGAATTCTCCAAATGGTGAAATCCCCAAAATAATAATCCTTGCATTTCATTTAGCGCCTTATCACGTCTTCAAGACGTCTCAAAGCGCTTCACAGAATATACTGTGAAGTGAATTGACTGTACATTTTATGGGTGAAGCGCGGCAGCCAATTGCACAAAGCAGTGTTCTATAAACAGTCGGAATTTAGTGATTCAATTTTTTTNAAGGGATTATTGCCCCCAGAAAAGTGATCCGCCAATTGACTAACAACCGGGTTCCTACTTATTGCTAGGTAAATAGAGGCGTGTGGAGTAAGGAAACTTGCCCAACATTTCATCCTGCCCGGAATCAAACCCAGGTCCTCTCGCTTTGCGAGGCGAGCGCTCTAACCAATAAGCTACAGGACTTTGTATCCATATCCAATATCAATGCCAAGTGACAACAGAGGTGTTTCAGAATTGACCTTGGGCAGGTACGAATCTAAGGTAGGTTAAACCTGTGATCTACTGGGTTTCGGTTATTGGTTTATAATAATAATCCTTGTATTTGATTGTCGTGGCTTATTATGTCAAAACACCTCAAAGCGTTTGTATAATTTTCTGGAGAGTGTAGTGGTTGTGTATTCTGTGGGTTAACATGACAGTCAATTTGCACACAGCAGTGTCTCACAAACAGCCCCAAAGTGTATGGCTAATTCTTTAACTGGGGGAATGTTGACCAGGTCACTGGGAGAAAGTCCCTTCTCTCTTTGAATAGTGCCATGAGATCTTTAACATCCACTTAAACAGGCAAATGGACCTACATTTAACATCCGATCTGAAGGATGGCACCTATGATAATGGACTGGAATGTCAGCCTGGACTCTTATCAAGTCAAAGTCCCAATGAGGGACTTTGAACCCATGAAAGTCACATGAACCCACAATTGTCTGCCTCAGAGGCGAGAATGCTACAAACTAAGCCAGGCTGACATTTTTAAGAAGCCAAATTGAGTTTGAACAATGTTGCTCTCTGGATAGGAGCCATTTAACGCTAAGCTTATAGATGCCCAACGTCCTGGCAGTACAATCAGTTTACTCATTACTGTCTGAAAAACTATTATACAGCCTTATCCTGTTATTTATTAAACATGATACAACACAGACCAAGCTACCAGATATGGACATGACTCACAATGAATATATTTAAGTCTAGTTTAAAATTACAGAAAAGCAAAATACTCAGGGAAAAATTCCAAATTTCTCAAGTAGGAAATTTCAGTCCACAATGCTCTCAAAGTTTTTAGGCAATGTCACACCTTTTTTTTTAGCAAACTGTGGCACAAGGCAAGGAGTCAGTAATGCTGGTTCTTGTACATTAATATAAATATAACATATGTAATTAATATCAATATGATAAACAATCAATTTGCCAAATAGGGAATCTTACTTATTTGAAAATATTATCTTCATTAATTGTATTTTTGTCTGACTCCTGAATCTTTTAACATGAGCAAGAATATTACCTTAAATGGGAGACTCAAGTGTGCTTTTGGCATTGGGAGTTTGTTGAAATGTACTGAACCTTAAAGATGTGAAGCTGAAATGTGAAAGACTTGGTTTTATTAGAGACACAGATAAGAAAAATACTTTGCTGATACAATGCTTATGGGCTTTGTAAGATTGGAACGCTATAATGTGGCAAACTAAAAGAAATACTGTATACAGTACATCATATTGACCAACGTTCCAGTTTATAAAATACATTGGCGTGTTTTCAAGTTACAGAATTTGTCAATTAACTTTTAACATAGAGGATTAGTTGCTATAAAAAGAATGAACAGGTTAAAGATTAGAATTCATGCATCCAGAAAATCAGTTACTGGTGTTTGGTATTCCAGACATTTGAAATACAAAACAGGTCTTTAATAATACACAATACATATATATATATTAAATGGTCAGATTAATCCTGCACTCAATACATGTCCACTTACACTCACTAATCAGTAGAAATAGTCCTTTATCATATACTCTTATCAAAAGAATTTAAAACAAATTCTATTAGATTCCCCCCTTAATGTGCTCTACCACAGCAAAACAGTTCCAATTTCTGAAGTCTCCGAACAGAAGGTGAGTGGTGAGAGGGTCAATGGAATCAGATAGTGTCATCACCACAAATATCCAATCATGAGACAAATTTGAGTGGCTCCCGACAATCTGACATGAAGTACAAGACGCTGCTTGATGTTGCAAGGATCCAAGGACTTCCTGCAGTTCTGAAGCATAGAGAGGTTTGGGACAGATCTGATTAAAGCTTTACCCTCTCAGGTACACTACAAAACTCCTTTCCTCTCAGCTACGGCCACTCTAGATGAAGCGTTCATTGACCAACAATCTTGCTGATCACCTTCTCACTGATCACAGTCCTCACAAGTGCTCATGGATACTTATGCTTCATCAGTCTCACATGCAGCTGTACAAGCAGCTGTGCAGCTGTTCGTGGAGTCCTGTAGCTCAGTGGTTAGAGCACTCGCTTTGCAAGCGAGACACCTGGGTTCAATTCCAGGCAGTCAGGGCGAAACCTTGGGCAAGTTTCCTTACTCCACACAGAGCCTAATAATAATCCCTCCAAAACCAAAAACAATAATAAATTGGTCATTTTCAATGTATGACTGTTTGTGGGACATTGCTGTGCGCAATTGGCTGCCGCGTTCGCCCACAAATATACAATCAATTCACTTTACAGTGTGTTCTGTGAAGCGCTTTGGGACGTCCTCCCGACGTGAAAAGCGCTATATCAAATGCAAGGATTACTATTATTATTATAAGCCTCTCTCATGATCCTGCTCAAGCTACCCACAGGATACCAGCTCCTCAGACTACGAACTCCTCTCACAGACTCGCTTATGCTACCATCTATATCTGTCCCCTTGTTGTTGCACAAGGGCAAGGAGTCATGAGCCCGTTGTAATCCCAGTTCTTATTCCAGCGTAACCACGAGGGTTGGGTGGGAGAGAGGAACCTTGGACAACTATAGCCAGACAGATACTGAACTCACACAAAAACAGGTGAAGGTTCACGAGTCAAATGCTTTTTTTAACCTTGACAGAGATAAACAAGACTTGCTTCCTCTAACAAGCCCCGAGAGGTGCAGAAACTAGGTGTACAGTCAATGTCCTGAACCCGCTCTATTCCTCATTCTCCCTTATGGTTTCCACCTCTCTCTTTCTTAATTGCTCACATGACCTTGTCTCTCAGCCTCTCTGCTGCAGTTTGAGTGGGTAGTTGTCTGGCTTTCTCTTCCTTGCTGGACCAGAAGCTTCCAGCTGTCCCAAAGTGAAGAGGAAGTGGAGCAGATTGTTTACCGACTTTAACAAGCTATGCCCCCTTCCAGGTACACTGCAAAGCTCTCTCAGGCACAATCTCATCACTTAGTTTGGTCACCACATTCCGACGGTGTCTATTACGATATTATCTGAACTGAATGTTTGCCAAGAAATTAAAAACAGTTCCAAAGTTGCCAGAGTCTTTGGGGGTGTTGTGACTCTTGTGAATGGTGGTCAGGCACCAGTAAATTTGAGCGGTCCTCGCAATATGAAAGGAGCGAGCTACATCAATGAAAGATGTTCATTTCCCTTGCCCTATCTGTCCCACTATCTGTGGGTGAGCATTTAGCCATTCTGCCAACATTCTCGGTACTCCATCCTGGAGTTTGATTCCCTCCCTCTCCTTGTTCAAAGCTTGTCTTCAAATGTGACTGTGTTTTTGGTCATTTATTGGTCATCTCCCCACCCCACCACCACCGGCTCCACCACTGGCTCCGACCCCCAGCTCAAAGGTAAAGTCCCTGTTGGATTACACGGACTGTAGGAATGATCTGCTCATCCTCAGTAATAATTATAATTCTTGCATTTGATATAGCGCTTTTCACGTTTTCTAGATGTCTCAAAGCGCTTCACAGAATATACTGTAAAGTGAATTGACTGTACATTTGTGGGCGAAATGCACACAGCAGTGTCCTACAAACAATCATGAATTGAGTGACCAAATTATTATTTTTTTTAGAGATATTTTCCCAGAAAAGCGATCCGCCAATTGACTAACAACCGGGTTCCTACTTACTGCTAGGTAAACAGAGGCATGTGGAGTAAGGAAACTTGCCCAACATTTCGCCTTGCCGGGAATCGAACCCAGGTCTCTTGCTTGCGAGGCGAGTGCTCTAACCACTGAGTTACAGGACTCCACAAAGCTACAGGATTCTAATGTTAAAGGCTTTAGTGTCACTAACAAATGCATTCATTTTGTGTTTGTGCAATGGATGTGGCCTGTGTTCTGTTGCACTGACCCTTTGAGATGGTATAATGATGCTATAATTTTGCCAGTGTTGAATTGTACTCTATGCTCTTAATATCTTACAATGTATTTTACATTTACATATCGCAATTCATGTTGAGAGGGTGTCTCAAAGTGTTTTTACATGGCTCAGCTGGAGAACTGAAAGGGTGTTGGAGGATTGGGAAAGATGACTGAAGGCCTCTAAGAGGTAATATTGCTTTTTGGGGGAAAGGAGGATATGATAAAGGTGATTAAAAGATTCTTGGTAGTATGCTTATGTATTCCTCGTGTGATGGCATCCTTGACACACTTTTCTTTGCGTTTTATTGTGATAACGTCACAATTGAGAATAATAGCAAAAAATGTGTGATGCTATCAGATACTTTTTCTTTTCAAGCTATAATATTGTATATATTATACACACAGTTAGTTTCAATCAATATCTATCATTCTAATTTTTATTACCCAATGCATGGTTAAAAAAAAAATTATGTTTCACTTGTGCCTTTGATAATTTGGGTCATTTTCTAACAGATTTTATAATATGAAAAAAATGTTGTTTTGGTTATAGTATCTAAAATAAAGCGCTTCACAAAATTTCTGTAAAGTTTAGTTACTCTTTTGGTGTCCTCGTCAACAATCCCTCAGAAAAATGAAATTAATTAGTCATTCACTTCATGGCTGTTTGTGGGCCATTGCTGTGTGCAAATTGATGTCACGTTCACCTACAAATGGACACTACATATTACCTCTACCTTTCCCCCGCTCGCCTGCTTACCATCTGACCCCATTCTTTGCAAAACATTCCAAGCATCCTATGTGAATGATGCTATAAAAATACAAGTTGTTTTTGCAGGCAAAATTTGTAATTATTGAATAGTTAAAACACTGAATGTGCCGATTACTCAAATACAGTGAAAATTGTACCTTTCCTCATGTTTTCACATACAAACAGATGTAATTTTCTGATTTGTGCCTGATAAACTCAGTTCACCCTTTCCTTGTATTCCCTATATTAGCAACTAGGATCTTTCATGTACCACTTATTTTATATTTTAGAATTTAATACATGTCTTTTGTTTCAAATATTATAAACTTGAGAATTTACCACTTTCCTTTACATCCCACTCTGATCCACTGTTCACCAGTGGGATGGAAAAACTTTTGCAAATTGTCAAATTCACAGTTGTTCACAGGCAAGTAATCAAACAATTGCAGGAAATCAACAGTATGGAGGTGATTTATGTTGTTCAAAACAAGTCCAGTGCCTCACTGCCTGAAGCCTCGTTCTGTTGGATGTATTTTAGAATGTCCATTTCATTCATGCTGTCCACTGGGTTTTCAGTGGATCTCACTGGTGCTGGCGACACATCTGGTGCTGGTGACGAGGCTGCTTTGTTAGGTATGGCTGGCTTGGTTGGTACCTTAGGTTTTGCTTTGCTGCTGGAGCGTAACTTCAGAATTTTATCCAAGTCATCTTCAACTCTAAATTCAAAAAGAAGCATAGTAGATTCTTCTTAAACACACTGAATACTACATATTTATTAAACAGGGCATCTCCTCAGCTTCCAGATCCAATGCATCTTTTTACCCCCCATCTGCCTGTTCAGGTGGATGCTAAAGATCCCATGCCAGTATTTGAAAAGAGAAGGGAGTTTCTCCCAGTTTCCTGGCCAACAATTACTGGATAAAAATTGACCATTCACTTCATGGCTGTTTGTGGCCAATTGCTGTGTGCAAATTGACTGCCACAATCACCTACAAATACAGCCATTGCAATTCACAGTAAATAATATGAAGTGCTTTGGGACATTTCAACAATGTGATAAAGCACTCTATTAAATTCAAGGTTTATTAAAGATAATTATTATACTATTACACTTGACCATCCAATTAACAAAACAGCATTAAAAATATATCCACTACTCCCTGAGAGTCACTTTGATGTCACGGCATCACAACATCAATCTATGTAAATGATTTCAGAGCATGCATTGCAGACCAGAACCATGGTTTAATAAAGCATTGGACGGACCTCAAAAAATGAAGTGATACCACATAAGTGCATCTATGACACGTTAATAAGTCCTGTAGCTCAGTGGTTAGAGCACTCGCTTTGCAAGGGAGAGACCTGAGTTCAATTCCAGGCATGGCGAAACCTTGGGCAAGTTTCCTTACTCCACACGCCTAATAATAATCCCTCCAAAAACAAAAAAACAATAATAAATTGGTCATTTTCAATCTACGACTGTTTGTGGGACATTGCTGTGCGCAATTGGCTGCCGCGTTCGCCCACAAATATACAATCAATTCACTTTACAGTGTGTTCTGTGAAGCGCTTTGGGACGTCCTCCCGACATGAAAAGCGCTATATCAAATGCAAGGATTATTATTATTATTATTATGACTCCTCCATGTGCATTCAAACACATATGATTTGTAAAAAAATTTTAAAACAAGAACACATATACTTTATTTAAAAAAAACTTAATTCTTCAATTAAACTGCAAGTCTAGAGTTAGTGAGAGGCCGGACAGACTGACAGTTGCCATGGTGTCATGGGATGTTGGCCAAAATTGATTGGCGAAAGGATTAGTAAAATCATGAGTTAATTTTCTTTGTTTGAACATATTCAGCTAAAGAGAGCAGCTCGGGAATGGTTATTTTACAAAAAATATGTATGTAATATAATTTCATCAAAGTATTTAACAGGAAATTTGATAATAGTGTACACGAGGAAGAAGGGAATAGAGGGTAAAGGGAAGGGAATTAAGAGTGGTGGAGGCTCCTGTGGAATATAAACACAGGCGTGGACTAGTTGGGCTGAATGGTCGGTTTCTGTGCTGTAAAGTTCTATGTAATGCTGTATAAAAATGAAATACCCTTTTCTTCTGACTGCTTTGAAAAACTCTTGCCCACAACTCAGTGGAAGCAAAAATCAGGGAGAAAAGAACAGGTACAAACAGTGTATCGATTTTTCATAAAATATTTGTTTCATGTAAATTGTATCTAATAAAAATTTCATATAGTAAAAAAAAGCATATAGTGTTAAAAATACTTATTTTTTTACAGTCCTATAGCCTTCAGTTCGATATTGAAGCTCTATTATAAAAGAGTATATGCAGTGAATTCCTGGGAGTGAAATTAAAACAAAAATCTTCTGTTAAATGTGGCAAAGTTCATAGTTATGATTTTAAAATACAATATCTTAAGGGAATATCGCAGGATGTTTTTCTTAAGATACATACATTTGTATGTTGTCTTAGTTTAACTGGGAAGTCCAAAATAAATACCATATTACTGAAGTACTTTCCCAGAAGGGGTGAGAAGTTAACAAAACATAGCGCTGAAAATCTGAAATCCTCTAATAAAAACCTTATGCTCCTTGTTCTTTTAATAAAAGAACGACTTCCTTTATTTAAATAACGCCAGCTATCTGAAATCTGTTGCGCATTACTGTTCATGATGGACTATCCCTGAACTCTGAAGATTTGTTTTCAATTGAGAAAGTCAGGCAAAGCTCTTGGTGAATTCCTCCTTAAGAGAATTACAATACTGGAAAACAAAAGATTGTTATTGGCGCTGCTCAAACCAAATTTTAAACCTTCCCCTTATATCAGTAACCGGTGTTGAAAAGTCAAGTTGAACAGAAGTTTGAATTAACAGTTTTCACTTACACACTCCTGGGCACAACTCGCAGCACTTTACTGACGTGCCTCATCTGGAGTGTGTATTCGCCTGGTCTGTATTATGCAACATACAGTAAAAAAAATTCATCTACTAATACACAGTCACCACACATTTCACTTCACAGTGGAATGGAGTTCCAGACAGCAGGAGCAGAATGGCTGAAAGCTCATTCCACCAATGGTGGAGCCGATTAGACAGGTGAAATGAACAGTAACAACAAATCGCATTTATATAGCACCCTTCACTTTGGGAGGTCGCCCCAAGGTGCTGTTCAATCGAAGGTTTGCAGCCAAGCTGGGGGTGGATTTGGGAGGGGTGGGGCTCAGGGGGTGGGGGAGAAGATGACTGATGGAACAGGTAAAGAGGAAGGTCTTGCAATGGTCCTTGCAGGGATGAGGGAGTTTCAGATAGTGGGAGGAGAAATGCTGAAAGCCCGACTGCCGATGGTGGGCTGAGCAGGGCAAGGACGTGAAACTGGCCAGTGCCTGCCAAATGGAGGGAGCAGTTAGGTTAGTAGAGTTTAAGAAGGTCACAGAGGTAGATTGGGGTAAAAATAAAATAAAAGTGAGGACAGGGATCTTGAAATCAATCCTCTGGGGGTGGGAAGCAGTGGAGCCGGGTGAGGTGATAGGCTCACAGAACCTAGTGCAGGAGAGGACACCAGCAGCAGAGTGCTGGATGTTCTGAAACTTGTGGAGGACAGAATTGGGAAGTTAAGTGAGCAGACAGTTGGTGTAGTCTAGCTTGGACATGATGAACGCATGGAATGAGTCTCGGCGGCCCGAGTGGAGAATTAGTAGCGGAGATGGGCAATGTTGCAGGGAAAGCTGAATGGGTCAGGGGCAAATGTGGGGTTCAAAGAACAGTTGAGTGTTGAACTAGATACTGAGGTTCTGCACTGGCTCCATGAGGTGCAATGTGCATCTATGTAGATTGATGTTGTCAGCACTTGTTAGCAGGCTTCCTGAGTGGAAGGAGCAGTCAGGCAGCAGAATATATCAGTCCAATCGTTCTCATCCTTCCAGAATACCCATCCGTCTTCCCAACACAACATCAATCTGTTTAAAGCCCAACATCCTGGGCTCAGCCATCTTTCCATCGATTATTATATTGTTTGTTCTGAATTTTCTTTCTTTTAGATTAAAATGATTGAGTCAATCCTGAGATATTTCTATGCGTGTGTCAAAAAAGGAAGCGGTTGTTGACACTTAAGCACACCTGCCTTTAACCATGGACACAGAACATGCCTTGACAAGCAAGTCTGCCCATGATGTGTAGTTCCAGTGGCAATATCAGTTGCAGTCAGATTCCTGACTAATAACAAACCGTCTGATACAAAATCTTATTTGGCTTCCGGACAAATTGTCTGGAAGGGCAACTGTTAAAACAAATACCTGAGTAGTTCTTCAGTGTCCTCATTGAGATCAGTGCTTAAGGCACCAATTCTGTGCTCAAAGGTAGTTGGAAGTAATAATGGGTCATCTGATCGAACTGCCCCATCCAAGTCTGGGTCCTCAAATAATCGGAAACCAGCTGCAGGAAGAGTGAATACAATAATGATAGATCAGCTCTCGTTTTAAATGATGAACTTTTGCTGAAGAATTTACCAGGTTAACATGGTTACTTGATCTGTGATGTGATCTTGCTTTGACCATCATGTCTAGCTGCACAATTCATTAAACAAAGCAGAATTCAAAGAGGAAATTAGCAAGTAAATTTCTACTGGAGTAGATACAATTTGCAAAATTCAAGAGCCGTATTTGTTATGTTCCTTGCAATTTCCAATCGGCAAAATTCAAATTTTATTTTTTATTTAGGGAGAATGGCTAGAAGTTTATTATTCCACACCCATTGGGGTAAAATTCCACCCAGGTCTAGATTTACTCTATTTACGTAGCATTTTCAAGTGCTCATAAATTGGCAAATTGCTGAATTCAATCTTAACTTGGTTTTCTGTAGTTCTTAGAAAGAATTTACAGAAAACTACCTTCAAAATTTAGGCTGTTATTAAAAATGTACCAATTTCTGGGCTAGGGAACAAAACTTCTTCCCTCTTGTCAACCTTGCAAGCTAAAGTCCTAACAGATAAGTAATGCTGGAGTTTGACCATCTAAAACCGTAAGTGGAGCCGGTAGCTCAGTGGTTAGAGCGCTCGCCTCGCAAGCGAGAAACCTGGGTTCGATTCTCGGCAGGGCGAGACATTGGGCAAGTTTCCTAACTCTCCATGCCACTGTTTACCTAGTAGTATGTAGTAACCCGGTTGTTAGTCAATTGGCCAATCGCTTTTCTGGCGGTAATAATTCCTTCAAAAAAATAATAAATTGGTCACTCAATCCATGACTACTGTTGTGCACAATTGGCTGCTGTATTTCACCCACAAAATATACAGTCAATTGAGTTTACAGCATATTCTGAGAAGTGCTTTGAGACATCTAGAAGACGTGATAAGGTGCTATATCAAATGCAAGGATTATTTTTTATTATAGCTTGTTATTGCTAAACTAAAAACACTTAGTTTGCCACAAAGTTTGCATTGGGTATTTTAATTCTAAAACCACATAGTTTGCCTTTGGCATCTCCCACATTAAGGAAGCTGAGTGTGTCTGTCTAGAATGCACATTCCATTCCAGACATGGAGAGTTGAAAGTGACACATGGAACGTTCCCTGTCTGGTTAGTATATTCTTAAGCATGACATGGTGATGGGGTTTCGCATGTGTCACACCTGGTTGAGAAAAAAAAATCCAGTAAATAACTGCCGTTAACACCATTCAAGGATGTCTGAGTAAATGTAGCAAGTTTTCAGCGGCTAAGATTATACTTACTGGCGCTGAAAGTCGATTTCTTTCCGACCTGTGTGGTGGAACTTTCAACAGGATCAAAAAGCCCAGCATCAGCATCCACTTCTTCAAAAAGTGTGAGTTTATGTGTGGCTTTCTTTGCAGGTGTCTCAGTTTTCTTTACTCTGTAGCTGAAAACAACAAACAAAATGTCAGTGACATACGTAATGGTGTGTAGTATAGAATAGTACTCATTACCTTAATTTAATTTTGTTGTGTGAAAATTATCGGAGGAATTCTGCAACTAGGCAGAGACTCCACAACGATCGATTGGATTATATTTATAAGAAGTTCATTTAAAAAGGCCAATGATTCACCCTCTATATGCTCCCCCTTGGTGACATCATCCGCAGACATGGGGTTAACTTCCACATGTATGCGGATGACACCCAACTCTACCTTTCCTCCTCTACCCTCAACTCCACGACCACTGATGTCCTGACAGCCTGCCTGTCCGACATCGAGTCCTGGACGAGAGACAACTTTCTTCAACTCAACGTGCGTAAAATTGAGGCCCTCCTGATTGGCTCACGTCAGCGCCTCCGCACCTCAGGCGCCGACACCATCAGCATCTAAGGCTGCACTCTCCACCTCTCAAAGCCAGTCAGGAACCTCGGTGTTCTGTTCGACCCTGAGCCGTCCTTTCTCCCTCATATACGCACCACAACTGGCACCGCCTTCCATCACCTCCGGAACATCGCCAGACTACGGCACTACCTCACCCCTCACGCTGCTGAAACTCTGGTCCACGCCTTTATCACCTCAAGGCTGGACTACTGTTTGTGGGACATTGCTGTGTGCAATTGGCTGCCGCGTTCGCCCACAAATATACAGTCAATTCCCTTTACAGTGTGTTCTGTGAAGCGCTTTGGGACGTCCTCCTGACGTGAAAAGCGCTATATCAAATGCAAGGATTATTATTATTACTATTATTATGGGAACTCTCTCCTCACCGGCCTTCCCGCCACCTCCCTCCACAAGCTGCAGATCATTCAGAACTCTGCAGCTCGTGTACTGTCCCGCACCAGGCTTCGGGACCACATCACTCCCACCCTCGCTCGCCTCCACTGGCTCCCCATCCCCCAGAGGATCGAATTCAAGATCCTCATCCTCACCTACAAGGCCATTCACGGCCTTGCTCCCTCCTACCTCTCCGACCTACTATCCCCCTACCTACCTGCCCGTACCCTCCGTTCCTGTGGCTCCGGTCTGCTCCACATCCCCCGCCCCAACCGCCCTACCATCGGTGGCCGGGCCTTCAGCCTCTCAGCCCCCAGGCTCTGGAACTCTATCCCCCAGTGCCTTCGCCGCTTCCTCCCTTTACTCCTTCAAGGCCGGTCTCAAGCCCTTTCTCTTCAACCGTGCCTTCAGCTCCCCTCTCGACTCTCTACCCACTCCTCGCTCCCTCCCTTCCCTCCCCTCACCCTGACCATTTCCCCCCTGCTCGGATCCCGACCCAACTGTCCAGAGCCTTGGGACGTCCTCCCGACGTGAAAGGCGCTCTATAAATGCAATCTTGTTGTTGTTGTAATACCTAAATACAGGAAACAACATTCAGGTTTGGGAGGATGTGTCAAAGTGCTTCAAACGGCTGGTTGGAATTGAAACGGCTTTGCTTGGGAGGGGGGTGGGGGGCCGGCAAAGAGGATAAGTTGGCCCAAAGCGCAATACACCTAGTGTTTCCTCTGGATCACTATAACCACACCCATTAACTACAGGATAAGACTGAGAGTCATTTAAAGTTGTTAAAATCTTAGCGATCTCCTTATAGTTTCTGTTTTCATTCACATAGCATCATGTGGTTTTCATTTCTCTGTGTACAGTGATAGGACAATCCATGCAATCTACTTCTATCCATTACCCACTTTAACTTCAGGCATTTTTTAATGTATTACATTTATCTCCAATTTTGTAATGTTTTTCCATCAGTGTTTCAGTTGCCCATTTTAGTTTTTTGTCATCTCCACATTTTCAACAGTTAATGCTGATTAGCTTCACTATCCAAACAATTCCTAAAAATACTGGGCACCAAGCTAGCTGTAGTCTACCAATGTCATAACACTGTAACTTGACTTACTTCTTCTCTTGCTTTCTTTTTATCCTCCCATTTTCTCTCCATGCCTCTCTTTTTCTACAGGACATTGCATAGAAGTCAGACGCCCTCCTCTGTCAAGTAGCCAATACTCACAAGGCAGTGAGGGTTGATAAGGTACTAAATTGCAGGAAGCATCACAGCAAAGCCATATAAAATTGATCATTCACTTCATGGCTGTTTATTGGACACTGCTGTGTGGAAATTGGTTGCCCTGTCCACCTGCATAATACACTACAGTTTACTGTAAATCTTGTGACTGTCTTCCTCGTGGAGTCCTGTAGCTCAGTGGTTAGAGCACTCGCTTTGTAAGCGAGAGACCTGAGTTCAATGCCAGGCAGGGCGAAACCTTGGGCAAGTTTCCTTACTCCACACAGAGCCTAATAATAATCCCTCCAAAACTAAAAACAATAATTAAATTGGTCATTTTCAATCTACGACTGTTTGTGGGACATTGCTGTGCGCAATTGGTTGCCGCGTTCGCCCACAAATATACAGTCAATTCACTTTACAGTGTGTTCTGTGAAGCGCTTTGGGACGTCCTCCTGACGTGAAAAGCGCTATATCAAATGCAAGGATTATTATTATTATGATGTGAAAGGTACTATATCAAATGCAATGAATATTATGATTATGATCCTCACCTGCCATCCACAATTGCACACTATCCAGCAGGGATTGATTTCTTTACACAGAGGGTAATTAACAACTGGGTATTCTGATATGGTGAGATCGAAGGGCCTTCTTTATCTGAAATTCTCTTGTGATCTTGTAAGACTTTGGATAGTGATCCAGCGGAGAACCCTGGCTTGATTCCCCCTACCTAACCCTAGGATACATGAATAAAATACTGTATTGTCCCAATTGCTCAGATCAGTTAAACAATAATAATTCTTGCATTTGATATAATGCCTTATCACGTCTTCAAGACGTCTCAAAGTGCTTCACAGAATATACTGTAAAGTGAATTGACTGTATATTTTGTGGGCGAAAAGACAGCACAGCCCAGAATTCAAGCCTATAGCTTCATTTTTATGTGCCCTCCCTCATGCTTTTACTTACTGAACTGAAACATTGAGGAATAAATAAGACGTTTTATTTTGCTCCTGTCTTAACACTATTTCTTGAACACAGAAGTCAAAATGCTGCGTCATGAAGTTTCGTCCCCTAAAAAAACTACCTTATCTGTTAATTAACCTATCTCTATTAATCTGTGAAGGGCACTTATATATACGCCTCCACTTTTTTTAAACACGTATTCTAGAGTAAATGCATTCATAAAGCTATTTAGAGAGGGTCCACAACAAATGCACCAGTTTTCCAAAATAATAAAATGAAATATATATTTAGCCATCGTACTGGCTTCCACCAAGCCTTTCAGTGTCTCTGCACAGATTCATATTAAAAGAATGGTTGTCAACTGTCTTTTGTTTTACAAGATAGACTTGGCATATTTCAGAACATTCCCTACCCCAGCTTTCAGCACTATATTATAAGACCTTCCCTCTACTTCCTGCAATTTGTTTCCAAATGAAAAAGGAAACCATCTACATAATACATGCAGGACATACAGGGAGGGAGTTTACACACGTAGGTGGCACATTTGGCAAGGAAGCAATGGCTTTGTTTTTGTACTTGGAAAAGAAGGGTGTTTCTCCCGGTGACTGGGTCAACAAACTCCCATATAACAAATTGATTATTCACTTCACGACTGCTTGAGAGACATTGCTGGATGCAAATTGGCTGCTGCATTTGCCTCCAAATACAGTCATTACACTTTACAGAAAGCTCTGTGAAACACTTTAAACTGTTTCGACATGGTAAGGCATTATAGTAAATGCAAGGATTTTTATTATGCTTTTGCTGTGAACTGTGTTCCTTAAGAGACTTATAAGTTTTAAAGGTATTGTATAGGCCCCACACAATGCAACAGTGCTGAATAACAGAAAAGATGAAGCAAACCATGGAACGGGATAAACATCTTACTGCTTTTGTCTGTATCTTTAGTCACACTGGTACAATATGGCAGAAAGTTTAATTGTCAAAAATTGTGCTGCTTTATCATACTATAATGCAGCATTATTAATTTCTTTAGTCAGCCAGGTGTTTGACATATGCAGAAACCCATCACTATATTTAAGAGTATTCAAACCAGACTGGGAGTTCCATATATGCATTTCACCGTTTGGAATTAGGTAGGCAGGATGTGTCCTTTCTTCTTCGAGGTGAAGTGAGAGACTGGTGAGCAGGACGATGGAAAAGATGGAGTGATGGTGCATTTACCCAAATCAACCTCAGGCCAACAAAGGTTCAAATTAGCATTACCCAACTCTTTTTGTAACAATCACAACAGACCCAATGCCCGCCATTGTATCACTGAACCAGAACTTACAGTAAAACATATAACTGGGGACGTATTCTAGGATCCTAATTGCTTAGAAAGCGCTCTGAGACGCCGTCTGGCGTGGAGGGCGCTATATAAATCCAAGTAGTTGTTGCTGTTCTAGTTCTAACACCCATGCTTGTCGGAAGTCAAATGATCAACTAGTGTCTCTCCTCCTTGAGGGCAGGTAAGCAGGACCTCCTTGGAGCTGAACTTGCTCCAAAGTGACATGTTTGGTAATGGAATGTCGGAATCGAGCCAACCCTCTGTAGCGGACTCGGTAGTCCGCTTCTTGAGCCAGGCAGGTCTGTAGTATTCCAGGGCACTGCTGATGACAGCACAGCCACCCTGCCTCATTGGCAGGACTTGGAAAGGCAGACCTGTCACTGAGGGCAGAGAACCCTTCCACTCATCTCCTGTTAACCCTGCAAGCCAAAACCCTGATGGATAGGTTGGTCTTTTTTGGACTGGACAAAGCCAGACAGTGCTCTCAATGGTAAGCTGTGCAGTTGTTTTAGCTGGTTAGACTCCAGTAACACCCCAATGCAGACTCAAGAGAACTCTGAGCTCTTGCAAACTTTCGGCTAATACTTTCCAGAATTAGATAAGCAGGATGAGTCCTTACAGGGAGAGGGTACGCATTCCATTCCAACAAT